CTCCCTGCCGAGCAGGGAGCCCGATGCGGGACTCGATCCCGGGACTCCGGGATCATGACCTGAGCCGAAGGCAGCCGCTCAACCGACTGAGCCGCCCAGGCGCCCCCCCATTTGCCTTCTTGCTTTTGCCATTGCTGTGACCCCAGTGCAGCTCACCATGCTCTTCCACATATTCCTACTTAGACCAGCTCATCAGCTTCCGTCTGGTTTTCCTGTCTTTACTTTTTCCCCATCTATAGTCTTCATGGCACTTCTAGAATGGGCTTTCTGAAGTAGAAATTAGCTGTTTGAAACCCAGTGGTGACTTCCTGTAATTTTTACAGTACAGTGTGAAGTTCTTAACTTGCCAAATACTCTGGTTGCTGCTTGCCTCTCTGACCTTTCTATCCCCATTTTCCCTGTGTCCAGTCTCTCTGGTCCTAGAACACGACAAGCTCGCTCTTATTTCATGGCCTTTATACTTGCGGGATTTTCTTCTTGAAGTGCTCTTTCTTCTGGTCTTTGCATGGTCTTTTATTACTGGAGTCTCAACTCAGATTTGAACTCCTAAGTGAGACCTATTTTGACCTAATTATTCTTTGTCCATTATGCTCTCTTATCATCTTAATAGCATTGACCAGTATCTGAAATTACCTTGTTTTCTGTGGTTTGTTTTTATCAGACTTCCTCCTCACAACTTAAACTACCTTGAGGGTAGAAACTCTTCCCACAGCCATATCCCCTGTGCCTGGAATAGAGAGCCTGGTGCATAGTAAATCCTCATTGTGTGATGATGGTTTACTGACTGATTTATGCTTATAAATAGTATTTATGTATGTTTTGACAATATTAAGTAAGATGTACCAACACAAAACTGAGTTTGGAAATAATTGGATAAGCAACTCTTGTGTTCATTGGAAGGGACATTTCTGTTTTGAGGGGTGGTCAGAAAGTTGTGTAATTTTGTAGGCATCTTGGTATATTCTTTGGATTCCTACTGATTGCAGTTAGATCACCAAGCATAGTATTCACTTTATTTTGAAAGTCTGTACATTCCAACATGGACAGCATTTCAGACAAAGTAGAATAATTGCCTTATTTATTGCTGGAATTCTCCTTGAGAGGGCTTTTGTTGTAGTATGTATGGTAAGCATTGTCTTTACCCTGAGCGGTGGCTGGATTGAGTAGAAGAATGTGCCAGGACACAAAGCTGGCATCTGGCACAGATCGTTCTGTCTTTAGGTTTTGTTGGTTTATTTTTTTTTAATTTTAATTTTTTAACTAATTTATTTATTTTAGAGAGAGAGAGCGCATACATGTGTGTGCAGGGAGAGGGGCAGAAGGGGAGAGAGCATCTCAAGCAGATTCCATGCTGAGCATGGAGCCTGACGTGGGGCTCAATCTCATGACCCTGAGATCACGAACTGAGCCGAAACCAAGAGTTGGCCACTTAACTGACGGAGCTATCCAGGCACTCCTATCTATCTATCTATCTTTCTTTCTATCTATCTATCTATCTATCTATCTATCTATCTATCTGTCTATCTATTTTAAGATTTTATTTATTTTGAAGAGAGACACAGTGAGAGAGGGAACACAAGCAGGGGGAGTGGGAGAGGGAGAAGCAGGCTTCCCGCGGAGCAGGGAGCCCGATGTGGGGCTCGATCCCAGGACCCTGGGATCATGACCTGAGCTGAAGGCAGATGCTTAACAACTGAGCCACCCAGGTGCCCCCCTATTTGTTTATTTTAAATAAATGCCGAGTCTTTATTTTTTTTTATCATTTTTTTTTTATCAGACATCCATGACTTTTTCTTATCTGTGCAATACATTGCTCATAGTTTAGCTTTGTCTTTCAAAATTCAGCATTCACTCAGTACATATTTAATGGATATCTATCAGGTATCAGGTGCCATACGTAGTAAGTGCTGGGCATATAACTGTGAGCAAGATAAAGTCTCATCTCTAAGTATTTGTTTACCTTGTTTAGTGTGCCAGGGTATTTGAATGTTTATTCTGTGCCCATCAATGTGTTAGGCCCTGGACATTCAGAGGGCAGCAGATAAAAATGTTGTCTTCAGTATCTCTTAAATAATAATAAAGACAGGTTGGAAAAAGGAGTTATTTTAATACAGAATGTAAAGAGCTAGAATGGTCGATGCCCAGTCTGCCATGGAGGCAGCTACAGACCTCAGGCTGCAGCTGAAGGATGAGTAGGAGTGAGCCAGGTGGATAGGAAACAAAGATATGCTAGCCGGATAGAGTAGTGTAGGCCTTAGGAATTCCAGGTGGTTTGGTGTGGCTGGAGGGACAGATGAATGTAGGGAGAAATTAATATTAAAGTGGGGGAGGTGGCTGGATCTGGAAAGGCCTCGAATACCACTGGAAATCATCAGAAGATTGATACTAGAGGAATGTCTTCAGGTGGCATTGTGGAGAATAATTGGGAGGGAACTATGGGAGGTATGTAAGTACCCATCATTTCTGAGTTTGAGCAGGGAAGTGACATAACCAGATTTCTTTTTTTTTTTTTTAATTTTATTTATTTATTTATTTATTAGAGAGCAAGCAAGAGAGAAGCAGCATGAAAGGGGAGAAGGTCAGAGGGAGAAGCAGGCTACCCGCTGAGCCGGGAGCCCGATGTGGGACTCGATCCCAGGATCCCAGGATCCCGGGATCATGACCTGAGCCAAAGGCAGTCGCTCAACCAACTGAGCCACCCAGGGGCCCCCATAACCAGATTTCTTAAGTGAAAGATCACTCTGGCTTTTGGGAGGGCAAATAGACCATGGGGTGTGGGTGGGGGATAGGAATGGAAGGAGTGAGACCGGTTAGGAGGGATAAATAGTAATAGGCACTTTCCCTTTAATCGATTCAAGAATTTTTTGTTCTTGTTCTTGTCTCTATAAAAATATTTCGGGTGCCTGGGTGGCTCAGTTGGTTAAGTGACTGCCTTTGGCTCAGGTCATGATCCTGGAGTCCCAGGATGAGTCCCGCATTGGGCTCCCTGCTCGGCAGGGAGTCTGCTTCTCCCTCTGCCCCTCCCCCCTCTCATGCGCTCTCTCTCTCTCATTCTCTCTCTCAAATAAATAAATAAAATCTTAAAAAAAAAAATTTCATCATTTTTATAATCAAATGTTTGGGAAAAAAGTTTTTTGCCAGTTTACCGGAAGCTTTGATGGGCTCGCATCCGTTTGGCATAATGCTCTCACTTGAAGCTCCCTTCCCATGTGGAGAATGTGCACACAGACGTCTGTTTGTCCTCCTGGTTCTTCATGTCAGTGTACCTTAGCCTCTGTTACTACGTTAGTGTACACGGAAGGTGCTGCAGTTGTCAGTTTTGGTTTTCTTTCATTGTGGCAGTCCTGGTTTAATGAGTACGTCCCGTTGGGCGACAAGGTAGTTGGAATAGCAGTAAACGCTTCAGTCATTTACAAATTCCTTTCATAAACTGGATGGGTTTGGGTTATTGGTTGCATTCCCAGTGAGTTTATCGCAGTATGGTCGTCCCTCTCCCTTATCTGCGGTTTCAGTTACCCGCGGTCAGCCAGAGCCCAGAAGTAGATGACCCTCCTTGGGACGTCTTGTTCGAAGGTCATGTAGTAGCCTACCGCTGCGTCCCAGTGCCTGTGTGTTCCCCTCACCTCATCTCCTCACGTAGGCATTTTATCATCTCACATCATCCCAAGAAGAGGGGTGAGCGTAGTACAGAGAGACCTGTTCACATAAGTTTTTTTTACAGTATGTGGTTATAATTGTTCTATTTTATTATTAGTTACTGTTATTTTCTTACTGTGCCTAATTTATAAATGAAACTTTATCACAGATACTGTATGTGTAGGAAAAACTATAGCATCTATCGGGTTCAGGATTATCTGGTTTCAGGCATCCCCTGGGGGTCTTGGAATGTGTCCCTGCAGATGGGGGGGACTACATACAGAACAATATTTGATCAAATTGGTGAGAGGAATGAAAGGCTCACTTTGAGGTAAATCATTAACTTTTTCAGGGAAGACAAATTATATTTTTAATAACTTCTTAAGCTGCAGAATATTCAGTATCTGATAATATCTATGCCTGAAACCTGTTGACACAGTCCAAAAGGGGGCAACGAATTTGCATATTCAGAAGGAAAATTAGGCCAGTTCCACTTTAGTTTTTGGAAGTTTTAAAATATTCTCAAGTATTGAAAATAAAGGAAGAAAACGCTTATTTTCTTTATATTTTAAATGAAAAGATACAGTGCAGGTTATACATTTTTATATTTATTTCTCACATATATTTCCATATGCTATTTAGCAGTTACCGCATGTCAGGCAGGTATGGGTTTACTTGACTGCCCACTGCTTCTGTCTGTGTCGGAGTAGGCTCGTGGGTACTTTGGAATGATTGAACGTGAGACTGAAATTTCTTTTTTATATTTGTTTTTTTAATAGAAAATGCATCAGACGCCGATTTATGGCTCCTGAATAGTTGTACCGTTAAAAACCCAGCTGAAGACCACTTTAGAAACTCAATTAAGTAAGTGGAAGTTGCTTTTTCTTTTTTTCTTTCTTTCTTTCTTTCTTTCTTTCTTTTTTTATAAGTGAACTTAAGAAGTTCAGGAAATCCACTTTTAAAAAATTCCCTAATAATATAAATATTTAGTATGTATCAAAAAGAGTAGGAGTTGGACTTGTAAGATTATACTGTTTTGACTTTATCTGATAAAGAATGAAACTTTACTGTGGACTTTTTGGATAGGTGATTTGACTATCTGTGAGGTTAGCTAATTAAAGGTGATGTGAATATTTGTTGAGTATCAACCACGTCCTCTTTTCAGGGAATCCAGTCCACATTTTTTGTACTGATTTGAAACAGTCCTTCCCTCTTTTCTCTCTTCTGCCCATTAGCAGTATGCTTGATGCTAATAATGCCCGGCCTCCAAGGGAATCACAGTTCACGTAGGAGAAATGCATATGAATCCTTGCTTCTTACTGTGTTCCCTCAGGTTCAAGTGAAAGAAGTGTCCTTTTTCACGTGTGCTCTAAATCTTCTCCCACTCACCTTCTCAGAAACCTCGCTTTATAAATTATGTCCTCATTTTCCTGTGTTTCCAACCTCTCTTAACCCCATGGATGCCTTCCCCTGGTTACTGAAACCTGCTCTAGGGCCCCCAGTTAGCTGTTGTCCTGTTTTCCTTCTCGCCTTCCCAGCCGGACTCCTCCTCGCTTCACACTCAAGCTCAGCGCCCATGGCTTTTATCATGAAATACATCAAACCAGATATATCAAAAGTTTATGAAACTTACACAGTTTCCATAATAATAATAAACTTAATGCCTGTATATCTACTACCCAGCCTAAGAAATACAACATTGCCAAGACTTTAGAAACCACCATGCATCCCTGTTTGAATCATATCCCCACGAAGTCATCTTTACCTTGATTTTCGTGCGTCGTTCCCTAACTTTTATTAGTAAGTTTATCATTTATGAAGAGTGTATCTCTAAACAATGTGTGGTTTAGTTTTGCCCTGTTTTGGACTTTGTTTATTGAACTTCATGCTCTGTGTGTTCTGAGGTTTGCTTCTTTTCCTCCTTAGGATTTTAGATTTATCCTTTGATGGATATAAAATAAATGGCCATTCTTATATTTCACTGAATGAATTTGTCACCATTTACTCATCTTACACTGATAAGAGTTTTCCCAGCGTTTTGCTTTTATGAACACTGCTGCTGTGAATATTTTGAATGTGTTTTCTGGTGTGCATGTGCAAGAGTTATTTTAGGATATGTACCTAGGAGTTGAATTATTGGATCACAGGTGTGTGTGTGTTCAGACTTTAGTAATGTCAACCTCTTTTTCCTGAATGGGGCATACCAGTGTTCACTCTGAGCAGTAAGGGATGTGTGTAGTTGTTCTGCATTCTTGCCAATTCTTCATATAGTCAGATTTTTAAATTTTTGCCAATCTTGTGGTACAGATGACATCTCACTGTGGTTTTAATTTGCATTTCCATGATTCCTAATGATGTTGAGCATCTTTTTATATGTTTATTGGCCATTTGGATTTATCATTTTTGTGAAACAGCTTTTTAAATATTTTTTCCTGTTGAGTTGTCTTTTTATTATTTGTGGGATTATATTATATGTATTCTGTCTACTAATCTTTCCATGTTATACAGGCTGCAAACATCAGTTGTGGCTTATCTTTTCACTTTCTTTAATGGTATCTTATGATGAAGAGAAATTCTGGGTTAAAATTTATTTTTTTCTTTTGGGTCTGTGCTCTTACTATTTAAGATGTCTTTCTTTATCTTGAATTTAAGATATTCTCCAGTATTGTCTTCTAAATGTCTCATGGTATTTAAGTTTATAATCCGTCTGGAGTTAATTTTTGTGATGTGGTATCTGGAAGGAGGTCCAATTTTATTCTATTTCCATGTAATCACTGAATTTTTTCAGTATCATTTCTTGTTTCTTAAAAATCCATTCTTTTTCCTTTTGTCTATATTACCCACTCTGTCATGCTGAGTGTCCGTGGATGTTTGGGTCTGTCCCTGGGCTCTTTCTGTGGTTCCATTGACCTCTTTCTTTATTGTGGCATGATTCTACACAGTTAGTGAATTATATAGATACATATTAAGTCAAAATATTTGTTAATATCAAGAGTGTCTTGGCTTTTCTTGGTCCTTTGTCCTTCCATATAAATTTAATATCAGGCTCCGAGTTCAACAAGGAGAATACCGTTGTGATTCTGGTTGTGATTAGAGCAAATATCTTGATGACTTTGAGGGGAGAATTGGCATCTTTCTACATTTTGAGTCTTCCAGTTCATGAATAAGGTATTTAGGTCTTCTTTGACCCTCCATGAATGTATAATTTCTTCGTACAGCATCTGTACATATTTCAGATCTTTTCTCCTAATAATGCAGGGACAGCTGCATTATTCCAGTACCATTTATTATTATTGTTATTTTTAAATCTGTCCTTTCTCCTTTTACCTGTGCAGTACTTTTTTTTTTTTTATTGTTATACTACTATACAAGGTAATTTAAAAGAAATACTCATTTTCTAGCTGTGTTTGCTCCCTTGGTCTCTCAGGATTAATTCCCGCAGCAGTGCGAAGGATGGCTGGGCGCAAGGAAGAGTATAGCTCAGGACCCATGTCAGGCAAGAGTCGTAGTAGCTGAGGAGTTGTTGGCCTCATTTCATGTGGAGGCGCTTGGATTTGGAAGGAAGGAGTCGACTTAAGGAGGAAGAATTCTTTATATTTTCAACATTGTCGAGTATGACTCTGAGACCCCTGGCTTGAATGCAGTGGAGAATGCCCAACAGGGAGTTCACTCGGAGGGAAGACGTGTTTTGGTTTTGAACAGGCTGTTATTTGAAGTCACAGCTAAATACTCTGATAAAGTGATGATCCTATTTGATCCTTATCAAGCACCTTCTGTGTGCTGGGCACTGTCCGAAATGCTTTACTTCAATTGGGTATATCACCCAGCTTAATTCTTGCAGTCTGTCACTGAGTTGTAGGTTATGGTTTTATTCTGCTTATACAGATGAAGCGTCTCTTTTCCAGAGGAAGTTCTCTAAGGCTGTTCAGTTCATAAATGGTGGAGTGGGGACTTTAACCTAGGCCATCAGACCAGAGTCACTGTGTTTAACCCTTTTATTCCTGTGCTTCCCAGGTAAAGCCGTCAGGTAAGCGGTTATCAGAGATCAGGACTAAGAGATAGGGAGTTCATATTTTTTTGCATAGAAGTGTTAGTTGAATGTGATGGCATCCTCAAGTCAGAAACTACAGAAGGAACAGAGAAGAGTTCTTACTGGCCCTGTGGTGGGAAGCAGAAGGGGTGGAGGTGATGTGGGGTGGGCACAGGGGAGTGGAGTCGTGGTCAGGAGGAAGAGGATGAGGACAAGGAGGAGGAGGACGACGAGGAGGAGTTGTTACAGCGAGCCGAAAATGATCATTACCAGATGCTGCTCATTTCCAAAGAATGCTTTTCATTTTATGAGAAGTCTGTCAGTCCCCAGGTTATCTACTCTTTCCCTCGGGGAAAGGTAAATAAGATGTAAAGATATTTTCGTGCTGCTGATACCCCCTGAGTACAGAATCCAGAGAATTTAGTTTCTGTGATTCTCAATTTTGTAATGTAACTGATGGCTGTGCTGCTAGACTGTTTCTAAAAGTTTATTTAAAACTGCAAAGGTGGGGCGCCTGGGTGGCTCAGTCGTTAAGCGTCTGCCTTCGGCTCAGGTCATGATCCCAGGGTCCAGGGATCGAGCCCCGCATCGGGCTCCCTGTTCCATGGGGAGTCTGCTTCTCCCTCTCCCACTCCCCCTGCTTTGTGTTCCCTCTCTTCGCTGTGTCTCTCTCTGTCAAATGAATAAATCTTTAAAAAAAAAAAAAAAAACTGCAAAGGTAACTTGTGTCAGTGGGTTTTGTTAACTGCATGAACCGTGTAGTGAGTGTGGTTCTCAGTAATGATGGGGTGTTCGAGTGATTAAATTAAGCCATCCCATAAGAAAACTGTCATTTGAGCACTGCAGAGCTGGTGCTTGCAAGCATGGGTTCCCTTAATGCACTCTTCTGCATGATTGAAAGGAAGTGTAAGAACAGTACACAGGTGATTAAATGGTTTTCTTTTCTTTTTATGGTTTTGAAGGCTTTTGGTAATCACAACTAGTTCTTGTTAACAGGACACCTATGATAGCATTTGATTTGTTTCCAGAGTAAATATAATCCGGCAAAAGACATGATAACAGTTAACACTGAGAAAATGTCAAATTCCAGTGACGTGTGTACATTTAGGGACATTCCCTGATAGAATACCTTCCCTTGTCAAGCATTTCGTTTCATTTCGATGCCTTCTCCCTTGTCATCACCATCCCCTAACAAAGAAAAAGATGAAGATGGATACTTCGCAAACTCTAGTGTGCCTTACGTCATGCTACATCATTTCCCTTCAGCCTCCTCTCTCACGTATTTCTTTTTAACGAGAGTGAGACAACATTGAAGTTCAAGGAGAGGCTGATGGACTATTTCCCTTCTCCTTGCTCTGCTTCACTTAATCCCTCATGCTCAAATTCAGAGATTCACAAAGATGAGTAGATCTTGCACAAATAATGATGGCTTCACTTTGCCGCTCATTCCTGAGTGTCATCATTTCTGATCTTCTGCTTTTGTGTCTCTTCCGGTGTATTTCTGGTATTTAATAATTGTTTGTCTTTAATTACTTATCGCCTCATTTTTCTCTCTCTTGAGCCACCAGGCAGTCAGGATCTCATTTTAACAGGAATGAAGAAAGACAACTCTAAGGGATTGACTGTCTTTTATGTGATTAATATCATTGATATTAAGATTCATGAATCATTGATCTCATTGATTAAGATCCATGCATTGTATAATCCTGACAAGATAGCCATAGACTGATCCGCCCCCAACCAGTGGTGGTGGTCAAACTTTACAATGTATACAATATTGTGGGGAGTGTTATTTAATGTCGGTCAGAGAGAATATTGGTTTAAAGTTATTTGGAAGTCTTCATTTTATAAACTAGTGCTGCTAATAAAATGTTCGGCTTTAAATAATTCCCTAATCTAGGCAAAGTAATGTACCCGATAGGAAAATGGCTGTCTGTATTAATCTGTAGGCTCTACTGCTCTCTTCTAGTTGATCTGATTATGAGGGTTTTTAGTGTTTGTGTTACTAGTATTTAGTATTCAGATTGATAAAAGAGTAGCTTTAGTAGCAAAAATGGAGTTGAGTGATTTTTTGGGGGGAGGGGCTGCCTTTTGCACTTTGAAATCTTAAATGCTGTTGCCTTCACTAATTTTGAAAAAAGTCGCTAATAAGCCCCTTATTTTGTGATGGCAGCCTGTTGGATGTATACTCTTTCTTCTTGAGCCTTTGCTAGTTGCCCTGTCCTTGTTTTATTCATTACACCAATTTGATTTAGACAATATGGCCTTTAACTTGAGGGGCTCTTGAATAAATGAAAAAGATCAAAAGTTTCAAAAAAATAAAATTTGCTCTTAATGAGAGTATCAAATAAGAAAACTCCTTTGGTTAATGCTTTATAGAAATGTGGGATCTTTTCTCTGCCACCTAAAGGAGGTCATTCAGAGGCTGGTGAAAATAAACACATCTTATGTGTTCCATATAAATGACAGAAAGAATAGCCAGCTTGCTTTGATCATGGACTGTCAACCTCTCTTTGACCTTGTGTTTTACTAACCCAGACGGGCAGTGTGGTTTAGCCATACTGATAGTGGATAGACGAGGATCACTAGTTCTTTGAACCACCTTTGCTATAGAAATAAATGGTATTGTTGAAGGGATGGTTTAGACATCTGAGTGAAATTACTTGAAAGAACAATTAGAATAAAAGGAGGAGTGAACAAAGCAGAAAAGTTTGTGTTGAGACAGAGAGTATTTGCTTTGTATAACATCTTTTGTCTATAGGAGAGCTCCTTATATAATGTTTTGTTGACAGAACATAGAAGTTGTTGGACGGTCATTCTTATTATGAAATTATTCTTTTGCTTTATGTAGATTTAACGTGTAGTTCTTCATTGTGATAGTATTGTTTCAACTTGATTTTGTGAAATGTTTTCAAAAAAGCTAACTTATGAAGAACAGAGACGTGCTTGGCCTTTCAGTTAGTAATTATCCAGTTTATAAGGAAATAAAAAACTTGACCGATTCTACTGTTAACCTAGATTCACTAGCAATAGGTTATCTTTTTCTTTTTCTAATAAAAGTAATTGGCACGGAAAGAGAAAAGTAACAGTAGGCTTTAGTTTTGGTCTTTTGTAAAACACAGGTCAGATAACACAAGTTGTTCTGTTAAACTTAGTTTTTAATACTGTACATTGTGGATTTTTGTTTTTAACTTAGATGTTTTAATTTTGGTTTTTCTAGTTGTATGAGATGGCTTTGGTTCATTGTCCATTTTAGGTCCTTGCTTAAACTGTTTGTGGCAGCCCCCTGAGTGTCTGTGTGATGTTATCACTCACAGCCTCGTGGCTTCAGTTTTCCCTGCTCACCAGAAAGTTTCCCTCCATACGCAATGTTAGTTCAGAGTTTTGGACCGTTTGACTGCGTATGTGTCATAGACCAGGTGTGGGTCTCTGAACAGTGCTGTGCTGAACATGAGTTTACATTTCCTCCTACCATTTTTTCCCCCATCTCCTTCACTTGTTTAGATACTGTCTGTGTGCTGATTACTTGAACATTTCTGTTTCTGACCCTTCTCTCCTTGTCCAGGATCCAGACCTGTGCATCCCACTGCTTCCTGGCCTTCTCTGTTCAGATGACTCACGGACACCTGCAGGCGTGCGGAATCCCCGCGCTACATACCTCACCTCTTCCCCAGCTGCTGTGTCCCCTCCTGTTGCCTGTGCTGTTTGCTTGCACTGTCCTCTCCCAGATAGTCTGTGAGTTTTCTTTGACTCCTTTACTTCTGAAATACCTTTTCCTGGGATGCCAGGGTGGCTCAGTTGGTTAAGAGTCTGCCTTTGGCTCAGGTCATGGTCCCAGGGTCCTGGGATCGAATCCTGCATCAGGCTCCTTGCTCGGCGGGGAGCCTGCTTCTCTCTCTGCCTGCCGTTCCCTCTGCTTGTATTCTCTCTCTGACGGATAAATAATAAAATCTTTAAAAAAAAAAAAAAATAGGGGCGCCTGGGTGGCTCAGTTGGTTAAGCGACTGCCTTCGGCTCAGGTCATGATCCTGGAGTCCCGGGATCGAGTCCCGCATTGGGCTCCCTGCTCGGCAGGGAGTCTGCTTCTCTCTCTGACCCTCCCCCCTCTTGTGCTCTCTCTCTCTCCCATTCTCTCTCAAATAAATAAATAAAATCTTAAAAAAACAAAAAAACAAAACAAACAAAAAAATAAAATAAAATAAAAAAAAATATCTTTTCCTTCCTCCTTTTGAGCCCTCTTCTTTTTTCTTTCCCTCAATGTTACTAGTGTTGTGGTCCTTACGTGGTAATAAATGTTCCTCTTGGAGCTTGCAGTTAACCGCTGTGTTCTCAAGTTTCCTCAGAATGCCACGAACTAGACGCACATCTTCTGACTGTAATCCTTTCTCTCCGTTCCTGTTGTTACTCACATTATCTCTTGCTCTTCATTTCACAGCAGAACTTCGGCTTGTTCTCAGCTGCGTTTCTGGACTAGTCTGTGCTCTGCCCTCCTTCACACCCTGTGCTGGGTCCTTCCCAGCCACGGAGGAAGATAAAATTTCTTAGTGTAACAAGGTCTTTGTCAAAATCTCTTTCTCGCCTCCCTAACTTGTTTTCCTGCCACTCCTTCATAGAATTCTCTTTCTCCCCGACATGATACAATTTTGTGTTTGCATATAGTCTTCCTTTTCCCTGGAATAGGCTCCCCTTTCTCCCAAATGCATGCATGTGTGCACGTGCATGCACTTGCACACACACACCCCCACACACCCATGTAGTCCTGCCTGGCAACCTGTTCATCTTTTGGAACTCATAACAAAAGTAATATCATCTGTAAGGTCATCTCCCTTCTAATTCCCACCCTTTACCCCCAAGGTCCACAGAGTTAATCACCCTCTATTCTCTGCTACTTCTTGATCCCATACAAACATCTATTGTTGAATATTACATTTTATTGTTTGTTTACATATTTGGCATTCTACTAGATTGTGAGTCTTGAGGTCAGCTTACTGACCTCAGGAAAATTCTTTTTTATGGAGTTTTTGACCCTCTGACTCTACTATGTAATGATCTTCCTTTTCTTGGGAAACAGAAACATTAATAGACTGCTTGTCACCTCTTCTAAGAATGGTCCCCCAAGGCCCTTGTGAATCCCTTGTCGGAGACAGTCTTTATATTTGCAAAGAGGAGAGACAAAATTCTAATTTTCAGATATCATATTAAAGGACCCTCTTTTTAAGAAATCATGTTCTTTTCTTTTTATGTTTTACTTATAAACTAGGAGGAAACCTGCCCTTTGTCCTAAGTGAGGTAAGAAACTTGTGTTTATTGTTGTTACTCTGCATTTTCTTTCTAGAGGGAAGTAGTAAAAGGGGTAAGAAATCTTTTTTTTTTCCTTCAAATTTTTATTTGAAGTCCAGTTAGTTAACATTTTATGTAATATTAGTTTTAGGAGTAGAATTTAGTGATTCATTACTTACATACAATACCCAGTGCTCATCACAAGTGCCTTAATCTCCATCACTCATTTAACCCATCCCCCTGCCCACCTCCCTTCCAGCAACCCTTAGTTTGTTCTCTGTAGTTAAGAGTCTGTTTTATGGTTTGCCTTTCTCTCCGCTCCCTCCCAAATTCCATAATGAGTTAAATCGTATGGTATTTGTCTTTCTCTGACTTATTTTGCTTAGTGTAATGCACTCTAGCTCCATCCATATCATTGCAAATGGCAAGATTTCATTCTTTTTGATGGCTGAGTAATATTCCATTGTATGTATATGTACACACACACACACACACACACACCCCACATCTTCTTTATCCATTCACCAGTTGGTGGACATCTGCGCTCTCTCCATAATTTGGCTACTGTTGATAAGGCTGCTGTGAACATCAGGATGCGTGTGTCCCTTTGAATCAGTAGTTTTGTATCCTTTGGGTAAATACCTAGTTGTGCAGTTACTGGATCGTAGGGTAGGAATTCTTGTCGCTTCTTGGAGTGGTCACTTGGTCAAGCTGACAGACGTTGAGCTGTGAATGGCAAGACCTTGTTCTCCCTGACAAACTAAGTAAGCTGGGCCAGCTTCAGGACCTTGACCCTTGGCTCAATTGAAGCATCTCATCTTGAGTCAGAGGAGAGGAAAGAAAGGTGTAGATAAAAACCTGGTAGGATTTGGTTGAGTTTGACACACAATTTTAATTACTCAACACAGTTTGTACAGTTAGGTTGAATTGATTCTTCCTTTTTGGGGAAGAGAGTTTGGCATCATTCTGTCTGTGCATCAGCATGTCATTGTGAGTGTATTATTCTATGTTAGGTATATAAATTATATAGCTATGTTAATATCATAGCATTTATTTTACATTTGAGTATCAAATTGCTCAGTTGCACTGAGTGAGCAAAAAACATCAGCTAAACCATCAAATTAAAAAAAAAAATCAACATGGCTGTTGCAGGGGAGAAAGCAGAAGCATTGGTAAGGTTAACTTGAGAAAGGGTGTTGTGAAGGAGTCAAACAGTAAGATCTCTGCAGACAGTGATACTGTTGAAGACCACATCTCTCTGGAGAAGTTGCTTAGACGTTAGGTCTTATCATCATACCATGTGGAATTAGTATTGTTCAAGTCTCAAGTCATGGTTGTGTTTAGTCTGTTTTCTCCTGTTGCAGGGACTTTGTATTGTTTTTTTCCGCATCAACTTGTCTGAGGTTAATAAAGGTGTTGGAGGAACATGCCTTCTGGAAACATAAAAGGAGAGCTCTCTGTTGAAGGGTGAGAGTCGTATAGTTTAGAGCAGATTTTGACTCATTCCTTGTTACAGGCTTTAGGCTGCTTGTTCCCTAACTCAGGAAAGACACAGAGATGAGGGGGGTACAGAGAGATTATTATGTCGTGTACCCCAGTAGAAACTTGACTGGAAATAAAGGAGAAGGTGTATTTTGGGGTTGAACTTCTGGTTGACTTAAATAAAACCAGATGAGGGAATGGTTAAATTTACAGTTGAAGGATTAGTAACTTATTTTGCAAATCAGGAACAGAAAAAGCAGTTCAGATGTAGTAAGTCATTTTAAAATGCAAAACTGAGTTTTGTAGTTATCTAAAATCTTTTTGGTGAATAGTATTTTGCATATCTCATGATGACTGTTACATCAACAGTTGCTTTGTTTTTGCCATTTTAAGCAAGAGAGTAAGTGAAAGAGGTCAGTGTATTGTGTCCTGGCAACAGCTGGCTGATAGCGTTGAATACTTACGTAATTAAATGTACGTGTTGGCCGTTGTCCTAACAACTCTGTAGGTGGAGGCCCCAGAAAGCATGCAGAAACCTGCTTTAGCAGGATTAAAGAAGAAATCAACATAATCGGAGTCTGTGCTCGCAGCCAAGAGTGATTTCCTATTGTTTTGGTTTCAGAGACATTCTACTTATTCTTGGTGTGTGTGTGTTTATACAACAGAGAAAAAGACTCTTGTGTTTTTTTTCCCCCTCCCCTTATTGTATGCTCTAAGTGTAAGAAACATACTCTTTCTTAATTTTTAGTCACTCAGTGGTATTGTTTAATAACTGATAATAAATGAAATAAAAAACCATCCGACCTTTAAACCTATAGAACGTGATTCCAAGATATTACATGTTAACTGTTTCTGTTCCTTGCTGACGGGTGCACTGGGCCAATTTAAAGGGTTACTTCGGTTTTAGACCACATTAAGGCATGGTTGTCTGTGACCATGGAAAATTGGGTGGTGTGGCTGTGAAGAACAAGAATCCACAGGTAAAATGTGACTGCGCTTTTGGCTATTAGCCTTATCTGTGGAGGCAAATCCTATTCAAAGTGCCTTATGTTTGTTACTGTTTTTATAGCTCAAGGGCTGAGGCCAGTCCTTAAGGCACCTTTGAATACAGGCTTTGGTGACCCGGAGAGCACCTTTGTGGATATTAGAAAAAGATGCCAGTCCTTGTAGACACAGTCCCACATGGCTGTGGATGGCTGCCCCATACGAATAACCCTGTATTTAACCATCTCTTCGTGTGTCTGTACCCCATTTCAAAGTGGCTGCCCCTCAGGAACTAGCACCTGGTAACAGCACTTGACCGTGATGGTTGAACAAATGAATGAACCAAGTCATATGTTTGCTTTCTCTATTAGTTTATCCTTCTGACCCCCACCATCCCCTGCCTCTGCCAGAACAAGTGTCTTCCTCTGTAGCTTTTCATAGAACTTCTTCTGTATCCCAGTTTTCTATTAGATTGCATCATTTAGAAATTAAGTTAGGCTGCATGCCCTAGAAAACTCAAAAAGTAGAGGCTTAAATAAGATGGGGCGTTTATTTTTCTCGTATGACGTGAAGTCCATAGTTAGGAAGTTGCCGGCTTTGGTTTACCAATTCGAGGATGTGCATACTAGGTCTTTGCAGTTTTATTGATCTTTATGTTACAGTGTAAAGTGAATGTTACTCTCCAGCCATTATATGTATTTTCTAAAAAGGAGGAAGTACCCAATGGGACGGTGCCCCTTGACTTTGTTCCTCCTTTAAAGGAGCTTTACAGGAAGTCCCACTCAAAACTGTGTGCGTATATCCCAGTGACTGGAAACATAACATATGACTCCTGTCTGAGGGAAGCTAGGAAATACGTTTTTGTTTTGGACCGGTCACATTGTTGCTTCTGACAGAATTGGGGTTCTGTTGGTAAGAGAGAACTTTTTCTGGGGGCTAACTTGATGTCTTTGCTATAGATTGTAATCTTTGGAGCAAAATGTAGATTTTGTTTCTTATTTGTCAGGATCCATGTATTGGATTAGTTTCTCAATATACTTTTAGACAAATG